GGTGTTCTTTTTTTGTTGCTTGTGTAGTCTAAACCGGACCGTTACTAAAACCAGCGTCGCAATGAGGTGCGCTGTTTGTGAGCAGTCCGTGTACTGAACAGTTGTCTCTGACCAACAAGGCCGTTTTAGAATGCTTGTTATAAACGCCAATTTTAATGCCATCTCCCACTCACTTTGCGTGCAAGATGGCAACTGCCACCGAAACTCCGTTACCATGGCCCGGGCTAAGTGATATGTTTGACCTGAGGTAGACGAAGTCAGACAATTTGCTGTTTAAATGTTGCTGGGCACACGAGAGACGTCGAACTCTAATATGAAAAGCAGATTAAGGTAAGTTATTCTTCAGTGGCACTTACTTTTTTCACGTAAAAATGTCGGGGTTAAGTTTGTTAACCAGAAGAACGCACCTTTCTTTAGAGATCGTTTTGTTCGTCGCATAGTTTTTCAGCTATATCTCACAGTGCTCATTAATGTAAGCTAGCGAAAACACTTCGAAAACGACTTAATTAAGTTTACTTGTATATTTCAGAAGGAGGGTAAATAAATTGTGGCAGCTATATATAAACACGCCTATTTAATATTTGTTTAAACTTGCGATTTATTTAGACAGTTTTTTCCTGTCCTAATTCGTGATGCAATTTATTTAGTTAATATTTCGTTGTACCACACCAGTGATGACTAGAAATTAACAGCGGTGTTTCGCATCAGTCCCAATTTTTTTTTCTTATTTTCCCCCAGTTCCTCCATTCGCAAAACCTATGAGAGTTCTAGGTGCTGTCAAAGAAACGAAAGACCGAGGCCACAACCCACTGTCCCGACGCGCCCTTTCTGAAGTAGATGAAGATCGACCGTATGCATCGACCGTACGCAAACCGGTGTCGTTACTTGCATTGACTAACGTCCGTTAGTCATGGCAAGTAATGACGCCGCTATTTCGTTACTTTTGCAAAATGGTAACGGAGCTCTTTAACGCGTTAGCTTTTTTTAAGGTAACGAATAACGCCATTTCGTTACTTATTTTCGGTAACGGGCGCACAACACCCCTCCAGATCCTCTTCCAACCAAATTGTTTTCCGTTAGCTCGGTGCACACGTGGTGCCACTATTGCCTCTGCACGAGGCCCCAAACAAAATATTTACGGTCTCTGAGCAGCATCGAAAGTGTAAAGCAATGGAAGGTGAGGAATTTTAAACGGCGTAGAATTGCGCCCTTTGCACTTGAGTGCGGTTTGCGAGTCGTCTATCGGATATCGCTTTTTCGCTTGTTTTTAAAAAGCGCAAAAAAAAAAAAGCAATAAACTTGTTAAAAAAAAAAAAAAAAAACGGTTTAACTTTAGATGTGGAACTCGGTCTGCCTCCCCGTGTCCTTCCCCCCTTCTTTATCAAGATCCTGAGATCGTTCGCCATTGCTGTTCTCTTTTTAGTAAAGACATGTCAACAACAACGTCTCTCTCTCTAGCGGTTCGTGTGGGTGTGCACGTAGGCATACTCTTCTTTAACTGATGAACGAAATGATGTTGCTGAAATAAAGTTCGAAGTTCAAAGAAGGAAAGCAGGTTCAACGCTCCGGTTTGTTGTGAAGAGCATCGCATGTTGCTCGTGTACAGTCATATTTACAGCCTGGGTGATTCTTTCATTTAAATACAAAATAAAAGCGCATGAAAACATATTACGACAGACAAATGGTAAGTAAAAGTGTAGTGTAGTTTATATATATATACATATTGCGGGACATGTTTGATTATATTATTATAGCAATACACGCGTGATTTTTATCACATTTAAATCAAGATATGAATAATCTCGAGTTTTGTGCTTCACCCTGGACATACACCAGGTGACGGGGCCACGGTGGCACCGTCCGTTCAATTTGGCGATATCTTGCCCGCCAAATTTATTGAAATTTGTTGACGTGGTACAGTAACAGTGTATGCTCTGATTGCGTCGTATTTAGTGTCTTCGATTTTGAGGTCTCCAAACTTTTTCGCTAAGGGGCCGCACGCAATATATGTCGCTGTCTGAAGGCCGGAAAAGAAATAAGTAAATATAAAGGAGGAAAAACTAAATAAGTATTCCTAAATAAGCAGTTATTAAATACAAAATTGAAAGTTAGAGAAAAATAAAAAAAAGAAGAAGAACCAGGCATAACTCAAAGCGTGTAGGAACTTCGGCATGTTCCAATGGAGCAAAAAACTAAGGAGAATCATAGGATTGCACTAAACACAAATATACATGGGAACGCAGAGGAATTTTAACGCACGAAGTTACACAAATATGAAACTGGGACTTTTTTTTTTTTTTTCGTGCAGGGCTGGGCGGTATCGCGATGCAACTGTATCGCAGTAAAAATTTAAAGATACTTTCGAGTATCTGTATCTCTATATTGAGATACTTTTTAAAACTGTATTTGCATTTCAGTAGTGACGCGACATTATCGATGTATCGCGTAGTATCGCGATATTCCGCCAGGCTTCGGCATCTCGTTACATTTGTTGTCGAAAATAAACTGTCTGTTTTCTATGATAAACTGAAAAACACCTTGTTGGTGCAAAGGGTCCCATAATTTGTAATATGCACCCGTCGCACAACCCCATCTACGGGGTGGAAGCCTGATTGTCTGGTATGTACCACAAACACGACAACTAAAAAAAAAGAAAAGAACTATGCACTTCCAATTTGAATAGCAGGATAAGCTCTTCTCAGATTCCTGTTTTGCCATGAAGGTACGTTTCGAATAGAGACACACCTTCACGAAAAACGGGGTTCAATTTGAGCAAACGCCTTTTCTCAGGCATGGCAAGTCGTCGTTGGTCTCCCAGTACCTATGTAAATCTCTAAAAACAACAACTTTCTTTTTTTTTTTTTTTGGCGGCTAGTAGCGTGGTAGTTGTGAATAGATGAAAAGTTTGAGGTAAGGGGAGGTGCATAAACTGACATAAACTTGAGGAATACAAGCCATTCGCATTCGACACGAACTGCACCCTCCGCGCCTTCCACTATTCGGGGGAAAAAATGTATTCACGTATCAATATCTGTATTCCGGAATACTTTTTTAACCTTGCTGCGGAAGTATTTCGGGGATATCCCTTTACCATAAAGGGTAAATGTATCTCAATATTTGTATTCCGGTATACTTTTTGGAGTATACCTCTGCCCAGCCCTATTGTATGGTACCTTAGTTTACTCGGTTAGAGGCCTGCTGGAAGCGGGCCCCGGACCGCGGACCGAGTTTCTTTGGAAGGACCGGGGCCTGCGGCGGGCCGAATCTGGCCCGTGTGTTGGGGTTTGGAGACCCCTGCTCTAACTGAATGACATAAGCGATAATGTGACCAGATACAACCAATGGCGTTCTCGTCGGAAGTTGAGGTTGAGCCTCGGCACGTGAACGATTGCTCTGAGATTTTCCGAAACTAAAGCTCTACGTATAACAAATTCGCCAGGTAATTTTATTTTACACTTGCTCTTTTTCTGGTCGAAATTCGGCGGGATCCATACGCAAAAACTACGTCATGGCGGGAGAGGGATAGCGCCGCCAAGCTTTCACTCTTCCCATTGCCGTCGCCGTCGCTTTGCCCCCGTTCGTTCGTTAGCATTGAAAAGATTTGAAGGATGACGGCGTTGCCCTCGCACAACAACCACGCAAAGGCACGCTAGTGGACTAATGTTCCAATTGATTGTTTACTTTCTGTCTCTCTTGGTGCCCCCTCCCTCCTCCTCCTTCCCCTCGTTGCCGCTGCTTTCCTCCGGCGGCTCTACCTACACGGCGCTCGCTCATTCCCCCCCCCCCCCCCCCCCCCTTTCCCCAATGTGAACGAAGCACCCTCCACCACCCAAGTGGAGCTCCGGTGCCATGGTCGTCGGGATCAACTGGACTCTGAGTTCTCACCAAGAAGATCACAACCTACACTGGCTGATCCACGCCCATCCGCGCCCTACTCGGCCCACCCAGGGCGAGAGCCACCGAGCGACCAAGGACGGGTGTCGGATGGTCAAAGACGAAAAGGTCATTGCAGTCGGTATTTATGGTAAGTGCTGGCGCACTCCGGTTAGGCGGACAACGAGGACGCGCAAGACTCGGCGAGCGAAGCTTGGACTTCCGCCATCCGGCCCTCGACCGCTGCCCGGAGGAAGGGAGAAGAAGACGAGGGCAAATTCGAGTAAGAAGGCTCCAAGATCAGGTAACCCCACCTAGAGAGTCCACTGTCCAGATGTCTACTTCGATGAGCGCAAGTGCTTGTCGTTAAATCGCGAATTGGCTTTTCCATCACAAATGACGTCGTGGCGAAGAGGCCACAACCAACTGTACAGTAGTGCCCCCAGCGCAGAGATGGCACAATTACTCTAAAAAAAAAATATATATATATATATTTTTTTATTTTGTACGTACTGCGGACCTGTTGTGTCGATCTGGTTGAAAGAAATTGAGAAGCTGACGGAGGAAATTTAAACGGGCAATGTTACGCCGGAGCTGGAGAGTAGATATTTTATTTGTCTGCATTAGCAGTGATGGGAAATCTGTGCGTTTGAATTTGCCATAAATGAAACGAGCCGCGCGCCTTGCGGATGCATGCGCATGCGCCTCACAAATTGGGTGCTATCTGTTACACAATGCGTATGGACAATGCACAATGTTATATGCGTCATCCCCGATCTAAAATTTTGACCTCACTGTCCAGCAAATTCAAGGAAGCCTGACTCACGCAGGTTGGTTCCTCCTTCTTTATTCTATGAGCTTCGACAATCTCTCGAACTTTTTGGTCCCTGTGTTTGGTTCCGATTTTGTGAGGCGCATGCGCATTTCCATCGTGATAAAAGAGTCGTGTTGTTGTATGTTTTTCGTGGTTTCCTGTTAATAAACCTTTCAGTTGTTAGTCAGCGCTCGTCCTGTCCGGTTCCTTCCTCTGTCCCTGTAAAATTCGCGCTGTTCCATTATGAAGATATGCACCTGTCGCAGACCTGATGAGCCGGAACAGGCTTGAGGAGATTAATCGCTTTTTACACATGAACAAAAACATGGAGCAGAAGCCAAGAAGAAGCGAGGGCCATGACAAGCTCTTCAAAGTCCATCTCATTATAGACGCACTTCGACAGAACCTAAAACTGGCGCCACCCGAAGATAAGCAAAGCATCGATGAGCAAATCATACCGGTCAAGGGCTGCAGCCAGATGAAGCAGTACTTCAAAGCGAAGCCACACAAATGGGGCTACAAGGTGTTCACGAGGGCATGCAGGTTTGTTTGGCATAATGCACGATTTTGTTATTTATGAAAGTAAAGTCACTGCAACGGACCATGGATTACGAATCTCGGGGGTCATCGTTCTTGATCTTGTCAGAGACCTGCCACAAGGGATAAACCACAAAGTCTTCTTCGACAGCTGGAGTGTAGTTTGCGTCTGTTTGGCCATCTAAAAAATGAAGGCTACCTAACAGTGGGGACTGTCAGGTCAAACCGAACTGTAGGATGTCCCTTGCTGTGGACTCTGAGCTAAAAAATCAAGGTAGGAGTGCCGTGGACTACAAACTAGATGCTAAAAGTGGGGTTCAAGTCGTCAAGTGGCTCGACAATAAAACTGTCCAGTTGGTGTCAAGTTACGCTGGTGTTCAGCCTACGGACACGTGAACGCGTTGGTGCAACAAAGAAAAAGACAAACAAATAAAAGTGACACGACCAATTGCAGTAAAAGAGTACAACGACTCAATGGGAGGTGTCGACCTCGCAGTTATTTCTCATCGAACTATATCGCACCGACCACAAGTCACGAAAGTGGTATATGAGGATCTTCTACTGGACCATTGACGTTTCCATCGTGATAGCCTGGTTGCTCTACAAGCGTCATTGCAAGGCGACAGACGCCCGCAAGCCACTTTCGCTGCTAACTTTCAGGATGCATGTGCATGGCTGTGGCTCTTGGCTTGAGAAATGCCAAGAAACAAAAACGTCAGTCTCGTTCTGAGGACGAAGCATCGCCAAATCAAAACGCTAAGCATCCAATAATGCAGAAGCCGGTAAACGATGTGCGGTACGACAGTGTTCAGCACTGGCCAGTCATTGGAAAAAGAAAAAAAAAAAAAAGGCAACCCTGCGGGTCCTACTTAAAAGGATTCTGTTTTCTCTACTGCAGCAAGGGAAACATGCATCTCTGTCTGATACCCAGCAGAAACTGCTTGATGGCATTTTACACTGAGTAGTGGTGACGAATGCCCAATGCTCAAGACTCAAGAGCAACATTCCACAAAAGCATAACCATTAAGATGTTTTAAATTTTTGTTGCAAATTGTTTTTTACTTGTTTTAAATTAACCCAGAAAGTTTCATCTCATTACCTTTTTGTGTCTAAAGGAGGTGTATCTTTTCTGCAGCTCAACATTTTTTGTTCAGAAACACTAAACGCAAAATTCGAAAAAAAGGGCCACGATATACAAACGGGCGTATATTTATGTTTGTCTGCCAGAGGTTCGGGTACCTTGTGTTGAAAACCAAGGACGGTGCATTTGTACTACTAAACAATGCCTAATTTTATCATTTTTAATCATTTTCACGCGAGCCTTATAAAAAACAAACAAAAAAACATTGAGCATCAATCTTAATGACATTTGGCACATACTTTGAGGCTATACCCATTCGTAACTGCTACAAGTTTCAGACGTAAAAACCGAGCAGTTGTCGTGGAAATAGACCGTTTTCAAAAGTCCATCAAGCAACATTGAGGCTCACCATTGCTTGCTCAATTTAAGATAAATATGAGAAAAAGGGCCACGATATGCAAAGCATTCACTCCTTATATATACGTCCTAAAAATTTGAACCAATTAGGTACAACATTAAACTCTGCACATTTGTACTACCAAACCATGTGCGGCCAAAAACGTCACTTTTCGCATGTTTCCAGCGAGCAGAATTTCTAATATACTTATATAATTTTTATATCAAGATAAAGACCATTCTCTATTTTGCATAATCGCATATAATAAATATATTTAGGAAGCAACTAAGCGCGAGAATTGCGATTCAGACGCCTGTTTATATCGTCATTTTTTATGGCCGCCGTGGGGCTTCCAACACAACTGAGCAGAATTAAAAAAAAAAAAAAAAAGTTGTTTTAAGCTTAAATAAATTATATTTTTTGTTTATATCAGAATTTTAAAATTTAAATCAGATATTTAAAATTTAGATTAGGTTAATTAGATTTAAATCATTGAAGCTAAATATAGAAATTCTTCATCACAGTGGTTCTCAAACATTGATGTTTCGCGGACCCTTTGTGGATCGGCGGAGGTCATGGACGGCCTCGTTCGTGGTGAGGAAAAGGGGAAAGGTATAGGTTAATTATGGAAACGATTTAATAAATGAATATAACTAAGGGCTAATACGAAGAAGATTTATCTTATTGACATACACGCAAAAAAAATTCACTTAAAATTAAAACGTTTCTCTGTAAAAAAAATACAACTTATATTGCCGGGCTTCGATTGATGAGGAAGGGCTTCGCGGACCCCTGAATGCCTTCGTGGACCCCAAAAAGTCCGCGATCCCCCATTCGAGAGCCACTGCTTTATCACATACTTCGAAACGTGGCCAGTCGATTGGCCAATCCATCCGATCGCTGAAAACAATCCGGAAGAAAGAAATTCCTGTAAATAAAATGTAGAGCTTAATTAACTTTTTTATGTAAACCCGCCAAACTGGAACAGAAGCCGCTTGAATAATTTCAGTTAGCTAAAAGCTTTCTTGGATTTTTTTTTTCACGTTCTAATTTGCTTGCAATAAGGCATTACTTTCCAGCTTTTGTTTGCTTCGCGTTTTGATTTGCTAGGACGTTACGTAACTCACGAACGAAGTAGAAGCTAGAAAGAAAGCTCAATACTCCCATTTTCTCAGACCTTTTTTCTGCTCGTGTACAGCCTGATATAAATATTTCTGCCTGGTGATTCTTTGATTTTAGTCCCAAGGACATGCACAAAGCATCAAACAGACAAACAGCAAATAAAATCTTTTTTTCTGCACTATTTTATGGGAAAGATTTGATTGAAATCATTATAGTGAAACTGGCCTGATTTTAATCACAATGCAAATTATGAGTTCAATAATTATTCAAATAATCTTAAGTTTTATTCTCCCCCCTGTCCTCAGCCCTCCCTTCTCCGAGCAAGCCAAGTTGCCAGTGCTTTTGAAATAAATCGATTCTTTCTCTCTTCCTCTTACAAGGTATAAACAAATGATAAGCGCTATGTGGCAAGTCTGGATGTGCAGTCGGCAGACCAACTGCTCTCATTCAAATTATGTGACAACGTTTTTGCGCCATATTCGCAGAATGAGGCCATGCGCCGTCACGAAACGAGATAAATACTATGCTCGCCATTCCGCTCCTTTTGTTTTGAAAGGCGCGATGAAATTTCCGTTGTGTTGTGCTTTGAGTAAGGATGCGCGCGATGGGAATAAGAATTGGAATCGAATGGCGCTTGGTCATTCATAGTTTTCACAGTGTAAGGGAAAGCCACGTGTAAGAGAAGGTAACAGCGGGTGAAGCCACTATTCGCACACCCCTAGTTTTGAGGCATGAATGTGATTATTAGAATTTGATTTCCGACCCCAAATTAACTTTTCCGTTGGCATAATCTGTTTGAATTTTCTCGCTTTGTTGGTTAGCCCTTGTGATGCCAATGCCGAGTCTGCTGTTTTGATATAGGAGTGATATGAGAGGTCCATGTCTCGTCACCCGTCACAATTCGGCTTGAAAGCTTGCCACTTTCCTCCACGGTATGGAGTCCCAAACATGCCAAAGCAGAGACCAGAGATTCACTTAGGCTACGACAACTTGGGTAAGATGTTCGTAAGTTATGAACACCGTAAGAAGAGGAGAAATCGGCATTCACGAACGCGTTCTTAAGTGGGAGGAAGAAAGCAATGGTCCTCGTGTGGAAAAACTAGAACTTCCTGTGTCCCGCAAGCTCCCGATCCCCGCGAGATCGGGCTGTTGCTATGGCGACAGCGTCTTCGGCAACATGAACAACCAGTCGGAGAGCTCGCCATGGTTCGGAGCACGCGGATTTTGAATAGCAAACGCCGGCGGCCTTTCCGCCGACGCGTGTCTGGGGATCGTGTCCGTGCAGTGAAATATCGACGCTATCACGATTTAGACGGGCCCGAATGCCGAGGCCGGAATAACCGCCTTCGTCGACTGCTACGAACGTATACGAAGTCAACAGAAGTTACACAACTGTCGTACATGCTAAAAGAAGACGGCCCGCGCCGCTCGTTTGCGAAGCGGCGTAGGCGTAGATAGAAACAAATCGCTGTTGATCAGCGTCTTGGTGAGCGCTTCGGGGTGACGTGACACTAAGCAAAGGAAGGTTGGATCGGCACCGCGTAGCTCCCACGAACTGTTCTCGCTCCACAGCACAGATGTACCGTCGTGTCGGAATAAAAATCTCATACTAATAACAAAGTGTACATACCATGTGTTGCGAAAGTAATACGGCGTTTATTTGAGCTCTATATCACACAAAACAAGGAGATAGAATCGATGAGAGTCTCTTTTCGACGACAGCGTTCGTCACCGCTGCCTCGGAAGGCAAGGGGATGACCAGGGGAAACGATTGACCGCTTAATCGAAAACTGAGATCTGCGATCAAACTATTCATACGGGAAGGGTCCACAAGGGTCTCGCGGGCACATTCCATTCAGCAAGCCAGCTGGTCGTAGGCAGACGGTCTTGGCCAGGGACCGCCCGAGCAGTTCGGAGTGCCTTGATAGGCCTATATTCTACCGAGCTCGCCGAGCTATAGCCCAAGACGGTCGCTTGGTAGGTCGATCGTCGTCGTTGTAGCTTTTTCTAGAGGCTAGATTCCCGAAACTTTCTTAAGACAAAAAAGTTCGTAAACTTATCTTAAGACAATGTTACGAACTTTTCAGTATTCCCGAAGCACAATGTTCGTAAGTTTTGCGCATGTTACGACGAAATCCGTAACTTACGCAAAACTTACGAAGATTTTGCTACGGGAATACCTTAAAGTTCGTAACTTTGTCGTAAGGTAAATTTACAGACTTTTTCGTCGTAAGAAAGTTTCAGGAATCTTGCCTCAGGAGTTCACGTCCGTCGCGGTCGGTTTCAACTACTTTCTATTTTCTTGCTGCTTGAAGACCGGACGAGCTAGAATAGCACGTAGAAAAATAAATGTCCGTTGGTCGTCACGGTTAAGTAAATGAGCAACGCTGTCGGCCATGTTGACTTGATCGTAAAAAATGTGCGTAAGATAGCTCCGGACCGGAGCTGTCGTAGGATTCGATCGTAACCTGCGCAAAAGTTATGATAATTTTGTTTTGTGAATACGAATTTGTTCTTACGTTTCGTCGTACGCATATTTGTAAGATCGATTTGTGAATTTGACCTCAGATCCAGTCCGATTCGTTTTATATTGTTCTGTCAACATTTTCGCACCCACCCGGCTTACTATTTGTGCACACTAAGGGTTCTCTGCAACGATTTCACGAGGTGATAGTCTTCAAACTTCAGGGACACGCGTTCAAAGATCAAAACTTGTCAAATATCGTGTGTTTTTTTTTTTTTTTTTGCAGATGTATTTTGTTTTATCCATTTTCTCCACCAAATCTTTCGTCAGCA